ATCCACAGAAGAGAGGGAATTCTCACTTAGATTGCCATGGCAGCATAACTTTCTCCCACTATTCTCTCTGTGTTTTGGAAATGCATTGCTGCTGTTCCGAAAGTGTGTGAGGTGCATTACAGGAAATTTAAGATGACAAGGTCTTTGCCCCAAAAAGCTTGCAACATGGACAGTTTACCGATGAAGAACAGAACTGTGTTCATTAAAAAGGCAACAGCTAATTGACATACCCAATCCCTTTAATATTACATACAAAAACTGTTTTAAGAAGTACCATATTCAATGAGAAAATGTATAACCAATTTAGAGGAAAATTCGTGTTTGTCTCACTTTCTGAGGATGAAGCAAAATGCCTAAAACATGAATTTTGTGAAATTGTCAGACACATATGTTTTTGGTGTGAATTAGGGAATATGCGTTGTTTCAAAGTAGCCCTTATATTAACATTTTTAGGGTCTTTTTTTTAATTCTGTTTCCATTGCATTCATTCTAAGCCCATTATCTTGTCCTCCATCAAATCCTTTTTCAAGGCCCAGTTCTTCCACGATTCCTACAAGACATCAGCTAACTAATAATGGCTATATTAAGGAGCTGCCATGTAGAGCTGCTGTGTTTTTTAAAAGGTATATAATGTATGTATAAATTACGCATATTTTGATTGTTTACCTTTTCTCCTCTTTTCACAATATGGCAAAAAAAAAAATGAAAAGAGTTGGACAACACTCCTTTGGGTCTGGTTTCTGGAAGCAAACAGTAATAGCAAAATAATGAATTGGAATGTGTCACTCATAGGTGACAAGCCAGTTCAACTGGGAGAAGGAGAGGAGGAAAGAAACTCGTGTGTGGCATTATGTTCCCCCCTCCCTCCATTTGACTGTTCTTACCTCTTTAATGATGGTCACAACCTCAGAGGGTCCACAATCTCTTGCTACGTGTCTGTGCAGGAATTAATACAACATGGTCCCATTTCCTTGGTGCTACAAGATAACAAATTAATAATAATTTATGGAACAATGTGGAATTACTGCAATGATGAAAATTAAATCCAGTTTATGGGAAATAATACACATGGAGACACAGCACTTGTCTACACAGGGACACTCAGGAAAACTAATCAAATTAATGAAAAGTGCATTAAACCCTGTGTGGACACTCTCAGGTCTCGTCTACACTACAGAGTAAGGCAGCTTTATGTCAAACTAACTATAGAAGTGTCTACACTTAAATTTTGCTCCTGCCAATATAAATGCCCTGCTGCTGCAACTTCCTAACTCCACCTCTATGAGCGGTGAGGACACACACCACTGACCCAAGGAGCAAAGTGTAGACATGTACAAGCGATGTAGTTACTGTGGCAGCTGTATGCCGATGCAAGTTAGGTTGGCTTAATTTTGTAATGTAGACATGGCCTCATTCGGAATTTAAGTGGCCTTAATTCGGTTTAGTTTTATATCAATTAAGCTAAACCAAATTAAGGCTACTTATGAGTATGTCCACAGGGGTTTAATGCAGTTTAACTAATCCACTTTAAATTCACACCTTTAGTTAATTTGGATTGATTTTCCTGAGTGTCACTATGTAGCCAAGCCCACAGATTCAACAACTTTTCTCTCCCGCTTTATTCTGTACTGTTACAGTGTCTGGTTTCAGTCAATTACAAATTCACATTGTCCCCATCAAATCATACCTACCATTTGCAGAGCACATTCTGTCTCTGTTCTCCCCCTCCCCAACTGCCTCAACAATCTGCATACAGTCATCAGAGGGAGTGGTGTTCCAGTTTCTTGGCTTTTAGCTCCTTAATATGGGTTTCTGAATCTTAGAAGAGGGGCCAAGTTAACTCCACATAACATGACCATTTAAATAGCTAACCTTTGAAACTTTCCTTTGGTTAATGGAGATCATCTCTGTATGTGGCTGAAATATAGAGAGATACAACACTACTATGTAATACTGCACACAAACATCAAAGAGCTCTGATGACATCTGGTAACCATAAAAGCAAAGCTCAAGTGATTTACGATGTCATTGGAAACCTGACGTGTGTGCAGCTTCATTCAGTTTTCCTGTTGTGTGAGTTATACTTCAAAAGCATACACTGTATAAAATGTCCATTTCCCTATTACTTTTATAAAATGTTGCTGGAGAAGTATAGGAGGAGAGAATATTTTTTTCTTTTTTAAAACATACAGTTTAATTTCAAGACGGTTCTAAAAGGGATTATGACATCAGACATTGTTCATCCAGCCAACCTTTGTTTGATAAACTCCTTGATTTTCAGACTACAGTCTTCTTTGTTAAAAGGTTAGGAAAGCTGTCTTGATTCTTTAATATGGCTGATGCTCAAAAGATTGAATATTGCTTTGCAATGATGCCCTAGCTATGACTTTTGTTGTCTGGCAGTTGCTTTTGTAATGGTATGTTATTTAAACATCTGCAGAGATGCTATACATTCATATAAGCTAGAAGCCAAACATCTGTTTTTAAATCCAGGTTTCAAGTCCCTTCCCCTGCCTAATGTTTTCAGGATGTAAAATGAAAAACTTGCAGCTGTCTGTATTAATGTGACTTCTGCATGCTGAATAAGTGCATTTTCATGTTCGAGCAGGTGATGATGAGTGAGCAGCCTTCAATGATGTGTCATGTCCCTCAGTATTGAGCAAGGTGATTAGCTGCAGGCCCAAATTAAAGCCTACAGTCTGCTGGCCCAAGGTATAACCCTCAGCCTGCCAACAGCCAGCGGAGAAGGGGCTGCAATAACAGGTGCAAAAGTGTAGTTAAAAAGAAACCTAGTGTATATCTACGCTAGTAGCTTTACATCTGTTGCTGCAGTAGTTTGGTGGTTTGGAATTTTAATGCCACCTGACCTTTGATTGCGCCAGAGACCACTTAAAAAATCCTTACCTGTCAGGATCACAAAGTAACTTCTGTGTGAACTTTAATGCTTTTTGACCCACAGTTTAATCACCCAATTACTCTCCATTTATGAGTGCATGAGTAGATTGGCCATGAAATCAATGACACCATTCTGAAAAGAGCCTACTTTAAAAAATAATGTTATAATGTGCACAAATTTAAAATAAAGTAGGACCTGTTTGGGTAATATTGGATAGTCACACACCATAGATATGGAGATTTCAGTGTTAAGTGACTCTGTTATGAAACCAGGGCTCTGGACTGACACACACCAGCACAGGCTAACTGTGCTCACTTATTTACTTATTTTTGCACTAGCCAGAAATGTGCTTTACACATTTGAAGAAACAAATAAGAAAAAGTCCCTGCCCTGCAGAGTTTACAATCTAATCTGATGGGCAGCCAGGCAGCAAATAAACAAAAGAAGGGCAGGACACAGTAGCAAAGGACCAGGGTGATATAAATAAGATCACACACTTACTCATTTCTGTGATTTACTTCACCCATTATTCTTTTTCAGAACTAGGCTTGTAGCCAGAGCTGAACCTCTTCAGCATACATGTTGACACCCAAAAGGAATAGGGAACATGGGGCAACATGTGGAGACAATGGCAGAAGTCAAGATGTGGGGGAAGGAAAGACAAAAAACAGAATGGGGGTGGAGGGGAAAGGCAAGGAACTTTAAAAAGCAAATATTTCAATTTCATGGGTGGGTGTGTGAGGGGGCTGAGGAGATTGTACTTCTGAGTTTCTTTTTGCTACTGATCCAACTAACTGGGATCATAGTTGGTTGGATTGGTTGCCAAAATAATCTTTCAACGAGAGAGAGAGAGAGCGCTCAACCCTCCTGAAATTCTGGAATAACTCCATAGTCCCCTCCCACTCCCCACACATAGTTGGACAGAGCATTGGTATGGGGGGAAATCCCTCAACGGACAAAACTGTAAATTAAACCGCTGTTGACAGGGGGAAGAGGTGTAGATATATATAACGGAAGTATTTTCATTTGAGAGTTGCTGTTCTCTTCTCCCACTCGTCTAGTCGACGGAGAGTATGAGGGTTTTCCTGTTTGAGACATGGCAATGGTGGTTTCCTCAAGGCTTTTAATGTGAGATTAATGCTCTGGAGACAATGCGGTGATAAATGGGTTCCTACAGTTATATCTACATCCTGTTCTCCCTTCCCCCTCCTGCACGTCCACTCACATGCACAGTCCAGGTACTTTTCCAGGTTGTAATGCTTGTTCTTGCACAAAGCAACACTTCGGACTAGTTTCCCCTTGTGATTAAACTGCAGCTCCTTCTTTCAACGTTTATCCAATAAAGACTTTAATTTGAGATGCAGAGTGCTTAATTATCAGCTGTTTCCTAGGAAGACGACAAAAATTAAATGGGGACGAGAAAGGCTTATAGCTAACAGAGGAGTGGTGCCAGTGAACTGGCTTGTCATCTGTGATGTGATACATTCCAATTCATTATTTTTGCTATTACTGTTCACTTCCAGAAAATAGATCCAGGAGAGTGGCCTCTGTCTTTTTGGTGTTGTTTCATATTATAATGACGAAGCTCTGCGTGTCAGATTATAGCCGGTAATCAGAGCTGTGGGCAGAGAATTGAGTATTTCTTATCTTCTGTAAGAGAATGGCTCCCCTGTGTGAGCTGCAAGTATGCCTTGGCCAAATGCAACCTGTGCATTGATAAAGATTTAAGTATTTGGCTTCTGAAAGGTTTGATACTAAATTAGAGAGGATTAATTAATTAATTATTAATTAATTAATAAATTAATAGCTGCACTTGCCACCAGCATGAGTTGTTGTAAATGGTATATTTTTTTGCTTGAACATTGATCATGTAGGCTTTTCATTTCTGTATAAATTTTGTTTACAAATTAAATGTGGCTGGAGAGGAGGGGAAGAAGAAACAGTAAGATGGCTCTGTTAACCTAACTGACCCAATGCAATCAAACTGTATTTTTCCGTTTGTGTCAGTGCCTTTCACAGTTTTAAACAGTATATTTTTAGATTGAAAAGCCTATCATGTTGATGAGTTCAGATTTCATATCATGGCTTCCTTTCCTGCTTTCAGGTTTCTCCCATTCGGCCTTTACATTTGGTATCGAAAGCCACATTAGTCAGTCTAACATCAATGGAACACTAGTGCCACCTGCTGCCCTCATCTCTATTCTTCAGAAAGGCCTGCAGTATGTGGAGGCTGAGATCAGCATCAATGAAGTAAGTAGACTCATTGCCACAAGCGGGAAGTGCACTTTTGCAATTTACAAACGTGCTAGAAGTTGGCATATGAAATCACACGTTTTCGGTTGAACTCAACAGATCAGATGAACATGAGACAGCTTCTGAGGTGTCTGGAGATCATTTCATTTTAATACATTTCCCCCCACAGAAGCACCTGAAAAAGCTCTAAGATACTTTCCATTTGCAATTGTATCTTGGAGGATGGATTTTTTTGATGTTACTGGTGCCTAAGTAAAGAAGTTAAATACACAAGGGAGCCTTTTATGTCCTTTAAAAAAAAAAAAGTGTTTCTGTTTTCTAAACCACAAGCATTCAATGGGGAAAATCTGCATTGTATCTTAAAACTTCGATTGTATACTCTGTTAGCAGAGAAGACTACCAGCAAGTGCTAGGGGCCTGATCCCAAACTCATGGAAGTCAATGGAAAGATTCCCATTGATTTCAGTGGGCTTTTGGATCAAGCCCTAGAAAGACACAAATGGCCAATGGTGGCCAAATGGTGTGACTGAGCAAGGCACAAAAATCAAGGCATTCCTGAGTTCTAATACTGACTCTACTGTTGAATCCATCAAGCTGCAAGCTCCCAACAAGGTGGACTGTTCAGTAAAACAAAGGGACTAGACAGGAAAGTTCTGCCCTGCCTAACTTAAAAACATGGTGCCACAGCAAAAGGAAATGAGACAAGCCAGGTCTTACTATATTACACAATACTCACCATGTATACTTTTAATTAAGTAAGATCTTGATTCTAGATAAATAATAATTTCCCGTGTGCACATCCACTCTCCCACCCCATGCACTTTGAGCAGGCATGGAAAAATCCATTATAATACCCAAGCTAATAAATATTTTTTTAAAACAGGGAGGGGAACATTTTTACCTCTATCAGGTACTACGTGGGTGGTGGGAATCTTTAATATATATTAATTCATATGAAAGCTATCCTCTGTTTTGACTGTAAAATATTTGTGCCTGAGCCACAAGGGTGAGAACAAAAGGACGGGGGAAAGAGGGTGAGGAAGAGCTTGTATTCTGTAAGATAGGGCATGGTTGTATATCACTCATTTTTTGAGGTAAAGTGTTATGTTTATTTTACTCTCTCAATAGAACCAGCAATATTTAGCAATTATATATATATATTTTTAATATAAAAGCAATGAGATTAATGCCAGATTACTCATTGATGTATTTGTAATAATAAAACATCCATAGGGATTTGTTCTGATTTTCTGCCACTTAAGATTTTGCAATTAGATGTTGCAAAACATGTTGTAATTGGATCCAGGTGGGTGGACCCTTGCACCTATGGACATCATCATTGACAGTTTGGCCTCTGTGCTGATGCGAGAGTCATTCCAAGTGGATCTTATTCCGGATCGCAGCCCAAATTGGGAAAATGCCCTAAAAATATGTTCATTGTCGCAAGATTTATGGTGCTTTTATACTTTTTTTAAAACACCAATAATCACATTTTTGTATGCTTCACTGTGTTTTAACTTATTCAAACTGAAAACACTAATTATGAATTCTCTTGTTCAATTGTGCTATTTAATTTACTTAATAAGTTTATCTCCAATTTCATGTCCCTTAATATAATTATGCTTTATAATTGCAAATATAATTTTTCCACCTTTATTTTAATGAATTGGTTTTGCACTTCATACTTAAATGCTCACACAAAGACACTGAGTTCTGAAATGATCAACAGAAGACAAAACTTAGAGGGATTTGGAAGCATTTCCTTGCCAATTATGCCATTCAAAGAAGGTTAGAGCTAGACCTAAAATGCCTCAGCATTTTCTTTCATGCCAGCAATGATCACCTATTTTTGCTGGTGGTTGTTTTAAAGAGTGGGAGCTTACAATCTAAAAAGGCAACACAAGCAAAAAGTAATAAGAAAGCAACCAATATGCACCTTCTCTAATGTGTGGTGGGAAGAAATGTCTCCTACCCAAGCCAGCATGCCTTCTCTACTGTTTTGTTCCTGCCACGGACACCCCTGCGCTATGGGGAATCCTCAGCTTCTTGCCTGTTACAGCTTGTAAATCCCTTGTCTCCATTCTGGCACAAAATTAGGGACAACGATCTGATTCTGAAATTCTGTGTACAGTAATGGGCCTGAGTTTTATATTCCAACTTTATTTTTTATGCCTGCAGTTCTGCTAGACATATATGTCTAAGTGTCCAACTGCATCAGCAAGTATTTAGTAAGTTCTTAGACATCTACAGTAATGACCATTATTGTGCCCACAATATTCTGCATGCAGAAACAGAGGCCTAGTTAAGACTGTGGTGCTCTTAGCACTAGGGTGACTAGGGGTCCAGTTTTCAACCGGAACACCCCGTCGGAAGGGACCCTGGCGGCTCTGGTCAGCACCGCTGACCAGGCCATTAAAAGTCCAGTCAGCGGTGCTGCAGCGCTAAGGCAGGCTAGTTCCTACCTGTCCTGGCTGGCACCACGCTGTGCCCTGGAAGCGGCCAGCAGGTCTGGCTCCTAGGCAAGGGGGCCAAGGGGATCCATGTGCTGCCCCCGCCCTGAGCACTGGCTCCACACTCCCATTCGCCAGTTCCTGGCCAACGGGAGCTGGAGTGGGTGGTGCCTGCGGCCGAAAGCAGTGCATGGAGGTCCTCACCTAGGACCCGGACCTACTGGCTGCTTCCAGGACATGTGCAGCACGGTGCCAGGACAGGCAGGTAGCCTGCCTTAGTGCCCTGCTACACTGCTGACCGGGAGCCGCCCGAGGTAAGCCCATGCCCCAACCCCCTGCCCCAGCCCAGTGAAAGTGAGTGAGGGTGGGAGGGGACTGAGCCACTGAGGGAGGGGGAAGGTAGTGAGCGGGGGGTGGGGGGGCCGAGGCTCAGGGAAGGAGCGGGGCTAGAGTATTCGGTTTTGTGTGACTACAAAGTTGGCAACCCTACTTAGCACCGATCCTCCACAATGAACGTCAATAGGAGCTTTGCCATTGCCTTCAATAAATACAGAATCAAACCCTATGTGCCTTTAGTTAAAAGTTTCATATGCCATGTGTCACAGTTCAAGGAAGCTGCACCTGTATTTCCCCTCTGTGGTCCAGCAAGGGCACCCATTCTCAGGCTTCTAGCTCCCCAGCTATTCCCTCTCTTGGCTGGAGACCCAAATCTCGCTCCCTTCTGACTGAGCTATTTCCAGGCTGCACAGTTCCCGGCCTTCACTGTCCCAGCATGGACAGGTTGCCCAAGGACACCCGCTCGTTTCTCTTCAGAGACTGATAGTGATTGTGAGCAGATATATGTACTGCAAAGATATAGCTAAGCAAGCCCATTTTATTCTTAAGATAAAAAGCACTTCAGAAAAAACGTTTTAAAAACAGTAAAAGAACCTGCATGCATGCTAATGAGTTTACCAGGAATGTATGCCTTCTGGATAGGATTCTGGCAGGATAAGTCCTTCAACCCTCCCACCTTAGGCATTACCTTGGGGTTACAAATTCATAACAGCTTCAGCTCAGAAAAAGCACCCTGTCTTATTGGGCCTCAGTAGGCCAAGTCCTTCCAATCTTCCCTAAGGATTGGGGCCTTCAGTGGACCAGAAATCTTGTTCTTTTGCTGGATCAGGAAAAAGGCCCTGAGTCCATTTAAACTCAGGTTATTTATCCAAAAGTTTTTTCTTTTTCTGTTGGTCTCTGGAAAATCTGGTTTGAACTAGTGCGCGTATCTTGCGAGGAGAAGGGGAAGACGTCGTCTGAAAATGATAGTTCCAACAAGTCCATACTAGCCAGCCAAATTATTATCTTTAGATTTCAGCTTTTAATTTGTTGAGGTAGTGGACGGGTGTTATAAAGTGAGAATTGTTTCCCAGCTACTTCATTTTACCACCTCCCCTAGCCAATCTCTCACCACTGTGTAGTGCCATTTTAGAAACCTTCTGCTGATGAGTTACATCTATTTCCAAGAGTCAGACTGGGATGGCTTGCAACCTTGCTTTCGTATTTAAAAAAATTAAATCTCTCCCACTTGTGGTTATGAAGATGACCTTCAACCGAATGTTAACTGATGTAATTATGTTTTTCTCTGAGTCTGCAGGGTGCCTAAAACAATAGCTCAGAGAAGTGTGAACTTTTCCATTAATCTCAATGGTGCAGTATCCCAGAAGTCTAATTATGAAAATATAATTGCCAACATTAACTATTTATCAAAGTGCACACCGAATTTACATACCCTCTCAATTGGACCCCTGTCTGTGTCTCCACATACCCCTTGACCCTTTTATTTTGGAATATAAAATCAAGGGAAACTTTTCTAGCAAGATTTAGATAATTAAGCTTTGCATAACTCTGTTTTCTTTTATAAATTCAAATGCTTATGTGCCTGAATTTACATACCCTCTCAACCAATTATCCATCCACATACGGTATTTCTACATAAGAGAGAGCTCTAGTGTTCTGACTTTTTGGTCATATCCAAGTCCTGTAACCTCACGCTACCCATATGTTTGGTTTCTCTTTGATGTTCCCCTCTCTACAGACCTTTCTGCACTGGGGAGATTCTAAGCCTGCAATTTCCCCCCCTGTTTATTTTGTTCCCCAGGATGGTACAGTATTTGACGGCAGGCCCATAGAGTCACTGTCTCTGATCGACGCTGTGATGCCTGACGTGGTACAGACCAGGCAACAGGCGTTCAGAGAGAAACTAGCTCAGCAACAAGCCAGTGCAGCAGCAGCAGCGACGGCAGCAGCAGCAGCCGTGACAGCGACAACGGCAGCAACCACAACAGTTGTTTCCCAGCACAACACACCAAAGAACGGAGAAGCCACTGTGAATGGAGAGGAGAATGGGGCACATGCAATAAGTAAGCAAAAGCACGGCGCCCGTTGTCTGGTGTTCAGGTGGACTTTGGTTTGAATAATGCTCTTGCAGCAGCATAATGTTCACCCAACAGTTGTAATAAGACAGAACTGTGATGGCGTCATTCCTGGAAGCTATTAAAGCATGGGCATAGTCAGAACAGTTCCTATGTAAACCTTACATATCGGCGGTGCATGCTACAGTGCTGACATAGTCAGTGTTTTGTCATCTCCCGGTACAAGACTAAACAAGCTTTACCAAACTGCAAGCTCAGCGAGACATCGTAAAATGAAGCAGTGTGCGCCTTCTGCTTTGAGCAGGGTGCCAAAGCTTTGCCCACATTACCAGCGAGCCAGGTGCCTCGAGGTTGCACCCAGTTAAGATCAATGAAACAGAGTGCGGCTTCCCTGCTTTAGATTTTCAAAGCTATATAGGGGATTTTGCAGCTCCCATTGAAATTGTGTGGCTAAATCCCTTAGTCGAGTGTAAGTCTCTCAAGCCCCAATTTTAGTATGGAGGTATGGCCTGAAGAGGCTACATATCTTCTCATGCCACCTCCCTCTTGGTCTGAGAAGAGAGCACATTATTGTATTAGAAATGAGGCAAGTCACAAAAGTCACATCATATATCTCTGCAGTCTGCGTTTGGTCTCTGAGCCACGGTTTGTCCATTCCCTGCTTTCTAGCTGCATAACTATTGCAGTGATTTTAAACTGAGGGAGTTTCACTAACAATTGTAGCCTTTTCTTGGGGCACCCAAGAAGCAGTCATACAGCATGCCAGGTGGCCGTTCTGGCTTTCTCTGTGTTGGGGAGTGGTAATACCTGGTATTGTGCTCTCCAATAAAATTTCACAAAGGGATTGAGGAGGCCAAATTAGGGCTGTATCAACCAACAGGGCATGGGTTAGCATGCAGCAAATTTGGGGGTTAGTTTTGGATAAGCAGCTGGCCAGACAGACAGTAAAAAGAACAGCAACAGTTTGGGAGGGGAGAAGGTCCCTGAGGAGCAGCTGGCCAGATGGCATGTGTTTAGCAACTGCTGCTGTGCCAGCTGCTCATTCTGAGAGAAGAGCTGAGGCCTGAAAGTTAAGAAGACGTAGGCTATGGGGAGACCCTGCAGAGCAACCTGGGGACAGCTGGCTCTGTGAAACAAGTGCTTGCGTCACCTTGGGATGCTGCAAACTTGCTCTCTCCGAGCCATTCACAATATGCCATCTTCAGAACTGAAGGTGTAAGAATACATGGGGGAGAGGCACACAAAACTTTAGGATCCCTGTTTAGTTGATCTGGCCCTGTCAGCCATTCATGACCTGTTCAAACAACAAACACTGAGAGAGAAAACTCAGGACTCCTGCATCCAAGTTACTGTAATTACAGGCCACCACGAGAAATAAAGATTTTATAATGAGATTCTAGCTGGCAATTTTGTATTAGAGGCTAAATAGTGCTCCTACCATTGTATTTGTCTCTGTAGCGATAATGGTAACCAAAAAACCAAATTCTTCAAGTGCAGTAATGAGAGGGTCACAATCTTTGTTGCTTATATAGGCCAAGCTGTACACCCAGCCAGGCTCCTCACCCCTCATCCCATTTGGACACTCAGGATATAAGGCGGGTGGGGGACTATGTTCTGCTTTGGCAGTGAATGCGAGGCCACTTGCCTTCCTCCCCCGTGGTTGCTGCTCCTAACTCTGCTGCAGTCTGTGTTTAGACTGAGGCAGACACTGCTTCACTAATAATACTTAAAGAGTTTTTTCAAGATTTTCTTCACAACCGTGAGCATTAGAAACATCATATTTTTAAATGAAAACTGGGATTCTGATGTCAGCACATGACTCTCAAACCTAGGGCCCTAAGCACATACTCGTTGTGTTTATGCCTTCATGTCATCCTGTTCATGGGTGTACCTGAACCACACTGAAAAGCAGGCAAGCCTGAGGAGCCTAGCAGGGTGGAATACGTTCATACTTTGAACAGCTGCACAGGTTCCTAAGAATGGCATCCCATTTTATCCTCCCAAGTGGGTGGAGTTCAGGAAAATAGCACTGCTTTTTGCTTATTTTTACCCCAATTTGAACTCTGAATGGGACACAGACAAAATGAACCATCATCATACCGCCGCTGCTTTCCACCAACAAAATACCCGTTGGCTTAGACCAGGGGTGGGCAAACTATGGCCCGGGGGCTGCATCCAGCCCCCAGATGTTTTAATCCGGCCCTCAAACTCCCACTGGAGAGCAGGGTCTGGGGCTTGCCCTGCTCTGGCGCTCCAGCCAGAGGAGTGGGGTCAGAGGCTTGCCCTGCTCCGCGTGGCTTCCGGAAGCAGTGGTATGTCCCCACTCCGGCACCTATGCATAGGGGCAGCCAGGGGAGTCCACACACTGGCCCTGCCCCAAGTGGTGCCCCGCAGCTCCCATTGGCCAGGAACTGTGACCAATTGGAGCGGCAGGGCGGCGCCTGCGGACAGGGCAGCATGCAGAGCCGCCTGGCTGCACCTCCATGTAGGAACCGGAGGGGGGATATGCTGCTGCTTCTGGGAGCTGCTTGAGGTAAGCACTGCCCAGAGCCTGCACCCCTGAGCCCCACACCCCAACCCCCTTCCCCAGTCCTGATTCCCCTCCTATACTCCGAACCCATCAGTCCCAACCTGGAGCACCCTCCTGCACTCCCAACCCCTCATCCCCAGCCCCACCCCAGAGCCCACACCTCTAGCCGGAGCCCTCACCCCTTCCCACACTCCAACCCCCAATTTCGTGAGCATTCATGGCCCGCAATACAATTTCCATACCCTGATGTAGCCCTCAGACCAAAAAGTTTGCCCACCTCTGGCCTAGATGAATATGTGCTGTACTGGCAACCAGGAGAAAATGGGTTCTAGGCTAATTTCTTCTCCTAATTGATTTTGGTAGTGCTTTGCCTTTCACAAACCTTAGTAGTTAGTGAGCCTTATGGGTTCCACACACACAGCGTGATTTTAGTAGTGCTTTGCCTTTCACAAACCTTAGTAGTTAGTGAGCCTTATGGGTTCCACACACACAGCGTAGAGAACACAGATCTATAATACGACAGACCAAATCTCAGCCACTTAGCCATGCTGTCTCTCAGAGAGAGTCTGACAAATATTTGCTCTTGGCTCTGTTTTCTATAAAAAGGGGCTACTCCTCCATATGCAACATCTTTAACCTACTTTAACCAACTATTTCAGTGTTAGTGGCTGGTGTACAGAAGGTTGTGCTGCAATGCTGAACATTTGGGGTTAAAATCCTGCTGATGACACGTGATGGTTGTTACAGTTACACATAATATAATTTGGGTTTTGGGGGGTGGCTTGTTTTTCTTTAATAAACAAAAACAAAAGAAAGCTCTTTCAATTGCAAAGCCAAGCACTCAAAAGTTAGAAAGCCAGATTTATCGTCACCCATCCAACCTTAATTCAGCACCCATGTGCATTATGATACACCCTTCAATTATATGATCTGAAACTGTTTTGTCCCTGGACCCCTGTCTCAGTGTAAAGCATGGACAGTGCTCAGAGAATGGTCTGTAACAAAAACTCACAGAGCATTTATGTTCTGATATTTCTTTTTTCTACAGATAATCATTCAAAGCCAATGGAAATTGACGGGGATGTTGAAATACCTCCTAACAAAGCAACAGTCCTTCGGGGCCATGAATCAGAGGTGTTCATCTGTGCCTGGAACCCTGTCAGTGACCTACTAGCGTCTGGGTAAGACAATGACTGAAACCACTTTCCAGATGTATAAAATACCATCTGTTACAATTAAGATTTATTTAGAGATGCAAAAACATGAGACCACTAGAGTCTGATGGACCACTTCTACAGTTTCTCACGCTAGAACGGTATCAATACATTGTTTGAAAGAGTTGGGAGGTGATCCAGCACTTCAAACATTTGCAGAGTTAATATGTACTGGGTTTGAGGCCACTCTACATTTGTGAATACCATGTGGCTTACTTTATTGTAGTACATTTTAAAGATGTCTCTGGAAAATTCTCACTGGGCTCATATTCACTTTTATTACACAAGCACGAGCACTCTCACTACTCAGAAAAGCTCTTTGTTCATCCAGGCTTTAAGTGGGAGGAAAAGAACCAAGACCCTTTGAAGTAAGACTCTGTGTAAGATCCATATGCTGACAAGACCCTGGCAGCTGTTGCCAAAATCCTTATTTATCCACACTCAGTACTCAATAATGTATGCCAAACTGAAGAAACTTGGGCACTTTTGGAAAATTGGCATAGAGAAGACATTGGAGGCAAATCTGCATGAAAGATTCCTATCCCAGAATATTAGAAAACAGAATTGACGCCTTCTTCCCCTCTGCACTCAAAGACAGAGGAAATCTGTAATCTGCAGGAAGCAGAATTTCAGGAGGATCAGAGCTTTCCTCTTTTGAGTCCTTGCAATCATAAAACATGAGTACAAGGGACTAGAAGGGAAAAAAATAAATACATGTATGAACTTGATTTCAGAAAACTAAATATGAGGCTGGGAGAAACTGAATAAAATACATATATATGGCAGTGCAGATAGAAACCAGCCAGTTCAGAAGGTATGAAGTTTGAGGAATCCACAGAAAACCCTTCTTTCCTAAAGAATTCAAGATCTCAGCCTTAACAATACTTGACAGCTTATCTACTTACAGATTATAGGAGTAAGCTATACTGCTATAAGAATTGGTATAGCTGTGTCCATGCTATACGGTTTTACTGATTTATCTATGTTGGTTTCTAAACTCATACAGTTATAGAAGTACAAGCACTGTGTGTAGACCAGCCCCTCATACTTAGATTCTACCAAGTTCTTGGTACTTAGATTGTAAACTCCTTGGGGTGGAGGTTGTCTTTTTGTTATGTTTTTGTACAGCACTTATAACAGACACGACAACAATACAAATAATACACTATAGTAATAACAATTAAGGAGGGTGCCCATATAAGGTGTTCGCAGCACTCTCCCTAGTCTGCCTCCTCCGCACACTCACCTTCCAAAACTTCAGTTATCAACGTAGGGATAAGATCTCAGGTCTAGCAAGGACCAACCCAGACCTGTGTTATTATTCCACTCAGTATACCGCCCCCCAGCGTATAGTTTAGAGGTGCAGAAAAGGAGACTTGCTCAATGTCAAAAATACTTGATTGGTATTGAGGAACCAGAGTATTCCCAGAGAAAACGGAATGGATATTTTCAAGAAACAAGAGTTTCTTTTTTGGTTTGGTTTGGTTTGGTTTTAGCGAGGCCAGTGAAGCAGTGAAGTACATAGAATATTACTTACCTAAAGCTATCAACCTCACAACATTAAATGAACCTGAATTAAAATTCTTCAGAAATATTGCGATAGTACCTCAATATTTACCTAAATGCTGTGGGTAACCATGAGTAACATTAAGTTAAACCATGATCTAACAGTGCATGTTTGAAGAGAGGAAACACCTAGGATTAAGATGCAACTATTAGAATTTAAATTAACCTTAGAAAATTATTGTTTTGGTAGATGGCTATCTACCAAACATAAATGCTCTCTTACTGGTAAATTTACCCAGAGTGGCATCTATTTGATTTCTGTGGCAATCTTTGGATGTTAATGGAGTTGTACTGATTCATTTAGGGAAATCAGTCCAGGGTAAGGATAGTATGGATTAATTCCAAGTATAGATGTTCTATATGTGTTAAGTACTGTTGTAACATAGAAACCTACAATTGTACACAGTTGGTATTAAGTATTTTCAAATGGGGAAACAGATGAGAATTTTAAATGCATAGTTTCCTGGGCTTAAGATATCAAAGTTAAAAGTCTTCATATAAAACTGGGGCTGGCTGCTTTAAATATATAATTTGGTATAGTCAGGATCTTAGACACCCAATAAAAAGATGTAAACATTCCTAAACTTCTAGTTTTGAAATAATATAGAATGTTGCTTACTACAGGAAAAGCATCTCTTGAGTTCCAGGCTTGCAAATTAAGGAAAATGTGTATGGACAAGTTGTTTGAGGCTTAAACTCAGAAGGCGCTGACATCCTTTTAAATAAAAGATTCCCATTTCATCTATTTGAAATCACAAGGAATTCAGTTAGAAGATAAATGCTAGTAATACAATTGGGATGAAGTGAAAAAATAGTGTTTTACTCAATCTGTGCTCCACAGGCTAGTAAAACCAATTCCTTTTTTTAATAAATTTTGTCACTGATTTTTGAAGCACATAATCATATACATGGATAACTTGCAAATACGATCAAATAATACTGAGACATGCTTACTAATAGCAATAATATAGGGCATATAAGTAATTTAGATTTCTAATTTAAAAATACAATTTTAGCCTACACAAGAAATAGTACATCTCCGTTCAGCCAGCATTCAGGTACTATAGTGATGAGTGCAGTATTAAAAATTTAGGTGAGATAACTGGTATATAACACATGGAAATAATAATACCAGGCTGTAAAACTATGTATCTGATGGTTTGAGTCTGACAATGTGCCATTGCACAAAAAGTATGGCTCAGCAATTAGGATACACTGTCTTCAACACAATGATGAAATTTGTCGTGAATGGGTAAGAGCTATGCTATAGGGTATTATTAAATATGAGGCAAGACATTTCCCCAGACTACTGTACAATAGTAGTGCACTTTCTCTTTCACAGTTTCATCTTTCCAAAGAAGATCATTCAGGTAATTCAACGTGCCAATACAGAACTGTTGGGGTCTAAAATAACTCATTTTTTTCTGGTATACTTGTTTTGTTCACGAGGGGTGATTTTACTATCAGTACGTAGCAGAACTTTGCCAGTATAGCTGCATCCACACTAGGAGCCCTTTGCCAGCATAGTAGATGAGTAGTCCTATACTGTAAAGCACTCCTAAGATAGACTTGGCCATATTTAGATTTGGGACAGGGACAGTCTCTTGTTCTGTGTTGTACAGCATCTCCTGGGCCATGACTGGGGCTCCTAAACACTATAGCAATATTACTACTACTAAACTTTTTACAGAAGGTGGGGGCATTTTGCAGAAGACAGTATTTTAAAAATAACGAGGGCTGTCAAGCGATAAAAAAAACCATTTTTATATTTATTTTTGATTACAAGTATTTGCACTGTAAAAAAATAAAATAAATAGTATTTTTCAATTCACCTAATACAAGTACTGTAGTGCAATCTCTTTATCATGAAAGTTGAACTTCCAAATGTAGAATTATGTACAAAAAAACCTGCATTCAAAAATAAAACAATGTAAAAGTTTAGAGCCTGCAAATTCACTCAGTCCTACGTCTTGTTCAGCCAATCACTCAGACAAACTCATTTGTTTACATTTGCAGGAGATAATGCTTCCTGCTTCTTGTTTACAATGTCACCTGAAAGTGAGAACAGGCGTTCTCATGGCACTTTTGTAGCCGTCACTGCAAGGTATTTATGTGCCAGATATGCTAAACATTTGTATGTCTCTTTGTGCTTCGGCCACCATTCCAGAGGACATGCTTCTATGCTGGTGACACTCGTTAAAAAAATAATGCATTAATTAAATATTGACTGACAGTTTGGGGGAGAATAGTATATCTCCTGCTCTATTTTACCCACATTCTGCCATGTATTTCATATTATATCAGTCTCAGATGATGACCGAGCACATGTTGTTCGTTTTAAGAACACTTTCATAGCAGATTTCACAAAATGCAAAGAAGGTACCAATGTGAGATTTCTAAGGATAGATACAGCACTCGACCCAAAATTTAAGAATCTGAAGTGCCTTTCAAAATCTGAGAGGGATGAGGTATGGAGCATGCTTTCAGGAGTCTTAAAGAGCAACACTCCGATGCAGAAACTACAGAACCCAACCACCAAAAAAGAAAACCAACCTTCTGCTGGTGGCATCTGACTCAGATAATGAAAATGAACATGCGTCAGTCCGCACTTTCTTTGGATTGTTATCGAGCAGAACCTGTCATCAGCATGGATGCATGTCCTCTGGAATGGTGGCCGAAGCACAAAGGGACATACAAATGTTTAGCATATCTGGCACATAAATACCTTGCAGTGACGGCTACAAAAGTCTGCCCAAGGACAGATAATTGCATGATCAGGGCATTAGGACCAGCTACAACAAAGTTTATAACAGGCAGCTGAGAGTGGGGACAAGGAAAATAGGGAGAGGCACATGTGGTTACATACTAGCTATCGGACAATGTAACTGTGATTATTAGTTATTCCTAAGTATGATTCAGGACATTTTTTGATTGTTTGTGAGTTACCAATTCATTTTCACACTTGATTTTCACTTTTACAAAAAAAGTTGTATCTGGTTATTTATTTATTTTTTCTGTCTTTATTTATTCACATTTTTACTAAACAGCAGTAAGGGAGCGTCCATCCAATGATCGGGGGGCCCTGGCCAATATGTTAAAAATAAACGAATAAGGAATCTAACCTGTCAATTACCACAAGTCAAATTAAATCAGATAAGTCAGCTACAATACAACAAAAATTATCCCAAAACTTGCATCTGAAGATGAGCAATAACAAAATCTGAAGGGGTTGGGCAAAACAATTAAAAAGCCAATTTCTTCATACATCTAGAGCTATTTTAATACAATCCTGACAGCCGTGGAATGGGGATTTTATTTGCCCTATAAGTAAAATTCTGGAGAGATCCTCTTCCCTGATTTATAATGGGGACTGGAATTAAACATGCAATTTTAAAAAAAGAAAAGAAAAAGAAAAGACAATCTTTCAGAACTAAGCTTCCCTAAAGTCTGGCAATACTCCACCCAAGAGAAAAACAGTACAATACTCATATTACTCAAGTGTTCAGGACTTGCATGCTGGAATCAACTTCTCGACAGTTAAGGAGATTAAATATCTTCCCAAATCGTGCTTGAACCATGGTCCTCTAATAATGCAGGGTTCACTGAATCATTCAGCAGAAATAGTGATACTTTTCCTGTTCTCCCAGCAACAAAAGGGAAGACACACAAATACCCCTGCCACACACTGATAGGCCTATGGAGCTACTCTGCAGGGACACATAATAGCTTATATAGTGGGGGAACAGAATAGAAAAACAAAATTAAAATACTGGAAAATATAATTGCCCAAGCAGAGCCTGAATACTGAATAAATAAAACCATTGAAAGTGAAAGTACAGCTCTTCTAGAATTAGCAAATAGGAAACTGAGTTTGATAGCAATATTGCTAAAAAATTGATTTCAAACATTGGTACAAACTGGGTTATTATAATTAGGACAATGTTAGCTCTGAATCTTACATAATGAAGAAGCCAACAGGAGCATTGAGGCAATTTCCCAATTAGTTTGCATGTTAAGCCATTATCCAACTCTTATTAATAAAAGATTTATATCCTATAAACAATTATAAAGCACCAGAACTAAAAATGATTCTTCGCTTTTAAACTTCATTAAGTAATCTAGCTAATCTTCCTAAACTCGATTCTCTATTTTCAGTGTCTCTGTAGACATGAGAAGTTACATTAGAAGTTCTTGCCACAGCAATCTCAGTTCTTCCTGGGGGCAAAACTCCTGACCCAAAAATTTTACTAGTCATTAATAGAAACAAAAAATGCAGAGGCGACAGCTGGAAATGTTCTGTTCTGTCTGTCAGTGGTCCAGTCTGATAGGGCCTGATGGCAGGGCCCTAACATGGCCATGTGATGAATTAGGAGTGAAACACAGATAGCCCTTCTATGTAAATCAAATTTTAAACAAAATGTGAATCTATAGACTAATTGCATTTGTAAACACTGATCTAGAAATCAGGGCCAAAGAATAATGAAAAAAAAATGATTAATATAGCAATTGACCTTCATCATTCAGATTTCAAACTAGCTAGATCAATATTGGTCACTTGGGACGTTTTTTGAACTTAATTTGGTACTTTATTCTTTTTTTAAAAAAAAATGTTGAAAACATTTTAGTTATCAACTCCAAGAAAGCATTCAGTTCAGTTGGGTGGGATTTTCTTTTCAATGTACTTAAAAGCATGGGTTTTGGAGAGAAGAATTTTATCTCAAGAATTCGGTCATGAAAGAGACGTACTTTTTTTTCCCCGTAGCAATATATCTCCTAAACTTCGTGATTAAAAAGATGCCCTAAAACATGAGGTACAGACTGGAGATATATGCAATAAAAATTACTTTACATGTCTGAATTCCTGAAAGTATAAGAAATCTTCTAATTCTATATCAAATTCTACTTTCTGCATATAAATGCAAGTAACCCAGTGGATAAATACGAGCAATTCTTTGTGCAAACTGATTGCAAAAAGGACAAGTCCCAATAAACTGAAAGAGGTATCTCTACTATCTTCTTGTAAATTGATTTCCAACCTCAGAGACTTTCTCCCACTGGAAGATAGTCTCATGTAAATCCAATGCAAATGTGAGGATTAGTATAGAGTATGACTTCCTCTCCATGCTTTTCTCAAGATAGAGGGTCAAGACTTCAAACTTCAGGAAAATGACCAAATTAGATAAGACTCAATCCATCCAATGGATCTTTTACACCTTACTTTGGTCTCTAGCAAATGAGTGTCCCTAGCTTGCTGTCCATCCCGCACCAAAGAACAATACATTATTGTGTCAATAGCTATTTTACTGCTGCAATTTATGGAACAGATCACCAGGTCTGTCCAAGTTGCACTCAGCACAGCACCTTGCAGACAGCAGAGAGAAAAGTGGAGCTAAACCACCTTTTTGCTCCCCTAATTCTGGGACTGATTTGGGGCTTGCTTGCATTGAATCCCATTAGAGCAAATGGACCATTCTGCCAGCCCAGGCATCACTGGAACACAGCATGCTCCTGCCCCAATCTATACCTTGGAATGCCCTTATAGAGGGGGGAGGAATGAGTGGCATAGAGTCAGCTGTGCTGGGGTTCTAATATCACCAAATTTCTGCTGTATGACAAGGGAATTTCCAAATGCTGCTTTAAGTCAGCTTTAAGTCCCCTTTCTGCCACTGCAGTGGCCTGTAAAGGGAACTTAGCCTGGACTGAGGAGCTGACCGCCTGTATGCATTGGCTTTTTATTCAGGTTTTCACAAATTGTTACTTGTTTGTTATATAACTTTTGCAAGATTGTGTGTGATATAAGCCCGTGGGCTGCAAAATATTGAGGGCAAGAGAGTGTCTTGCTTGCAAAATGCTTTGGAAAAAACATTGGTGAAATGAGAAGCTGATTCAAAAAAAGCTTTGTTTACTTTTAGTTTAAGAACTTGAATGAGGATTATTCTCATTAAAAACATAAAAGATCCCAAATAAATGAATCAGGGTGCAGGGTGGGGGAGTTGAAGAGCAGAGGAACTCACCACTTGTGGCTCTTTTTTTTTTTTCAAGCCTACAGTGTTCTCTCAGTGTAACCAGAGATTTCTACCTGCTATGTAAGATCATCTCATTACAAAGTGTTCATCTCAGTGTGTTTGTTTTTGTAGATCTGGAGACTCAACTGCCAGAATATGGAATCTCAATGAAAATAGCAACGGTGGTTCCACTCAGCTAGTTTTGAGGCACTGTATAAGAGAAGGAGGACATGATGTGCCCAGCAATAAGGATGTGACTTCATTGGACTGGAATGTGAGTTAACTTCTTGGGCCATTCGCAGTTTTTAACTGAATAAACTTAATTCAGATGCAATCATAGTTACTATGCCTTTATAGTTAAGGTGGTCAGAACTTCTTCCCTACCCTAGTAACGTCCTTCTTGTTTTCAGAAACTCATAATAGACTAAACTTTCATCTGTCATGCTGAAATTTTCTAAGGCTGTTGATTTTCCTTAGGCTTAATAATTAGAGTGTTTATATATTTATTTTGGGGATTGTGAGTAAAAATGGCTCAACTGTTTTTAAGGATGAGGGAATAAAAAGGGAAATGTCAGTGGCACTCCCTATCAGCACAAGATCCCAGCTTGATCTGTTGGTTAATCATGACTATTATTATTGTGCCCCAGTGTGAGCTAGGAGTGCTGCAGAAGAAAAGGGTAAGGCCCTTGCCCAAACAGCTTGCCATCTAAATTGGAGACTTGACATAATGAATGAAGGTGATGCATAGTAGAGGAAGGTCAGGGAGTTCAACATGGTTAAGAAAGAAGACAAAGATGAAAGATAGTGAGTGTTCTTGATTCCTTTGCTGTGGGCTCTGTGGCGAAGGGGAATTTTCAGGAAGGATTTAAATAAAGAGATGGTGGTGACCTGATATACCAGTATAAGGAAATAGAGAATTCAATGCATGGGGGAAGCATGAAAACAGGCTCAGAGACAATTATGAGAGAAGTAGGAGAAATGAATAGGAAGGGGCCTCCTTCAATGGGCAATCATCTTATTTAATTTCCAGACCTATTGTGATGCCAATATTTATCCTGAAGTTTATTCTAGTATTTATGTAAGCAAGCCTTTCTAATGAAACACTCAATGTGATCCCAAATTGTTATAGAGTTTTCCAAGGCAAGTGAAAACACAGGAAACTGATATCCGATGAGATGCAAATTTGACAGTATTTGTGCATCTTCCACCTGACCTTTCTTTCCCCTCACTCATGTTCTCTTTTGTAATTCTCACTTATGCATTAGCTAGCGTGCAACTTGAATGTATGTCCCAATAAACCTAACCTAGGTTTTGATTTCTTTTCTACATCTTTCTATATTTAAGTGCACAGCTATTCTGTCTCACTCTTTTTTGGAGAATAGGAATGGACACATCTGTTGATGATTACTTTATGCTTTTCTTAACAACTTTTTATTCTGGATGCTAATAAAACCATCTGCCATCATTATTTAATTAAATCCACAATATTCATCATCGTCCAGTGCCCGGAAACTTTCACACTGATTAATGTCTAAAAACCAGTAGTTATTGCATTCTGTTTTCATATGAATTGGGTTAGAAACATTATAAAGAAACATGCAAATTAGAAATTATTTGCTAAATGCCTAAAATCCCTGTTTCTCAACTAAAAGATTCCCATAAAAATCATTATATCTCAGTTTTGTCTCAGTCGTTTTGGCTAAGTTATTCTATGTGATGGAGCAACTCAATATTTAATGGTTCATTTGCAGTTTTTATTCTCTCGTTGTTGCCAGCAATACTAACCTCTAATTTAGGATGTAACTGAGTAATGATACTTGCTTTCTCTCTTTGTGGGTTGTCAAATTTCCCTTACTTCAGAAAACACTGACTTGAGGAATAGATGACTGAATCAGGGCTGATTCAGTATAATCTGTAGTAACCTTTCATTTATATTGGCTTTTCCACATCCAACAGAGTGATGGAACGCTATTGGCTACAGGATCATATGATGGTTTTGCAAGAATATGGACAGAAGATGGTGAGCCATTTAACATTTCAGTGATTACAAATGATTAATAGTACTGTATTCCATCTCCCAGACAAATCATAACATTAACATTTTCTGTTTTTACATTTTAGGTAACCTTGCGAGCACCTTAGGTCAACACAAAGGTCCCATATTTGCTCTGAAATGGAACAAAAAGGGGAATTACATTTTAAGTGCTGGCGTTGATAAAGTTAGTATTAAAAATATGTAACTTTGATGTGTGAACATGCAGATGCTGTGAGCTTATATTGTTTGAATTTCAACATCTCCTTCTCCTGCTTTGGGAATTCAGCAAAGTTTGCCTAATTTGTTTTGTTGGGTCTTGATTTCATCAGAGTAAGTGACTAACTACTCTCCTGTGGCTGGATAAATTTGTACCATGTGACACATGTTTTTAACAAATCCTCACTTTGCTGTCTGTTGCATTGAATCCCAAGCATTGCTCAGACAAAGGAAGTGAAAATCTCATCCCCCAATTTATGTATATACATTTAGTCTAGCACTTATAAATACCTCAGGAGAGGGAATCTGTTTTAAGTTCTCTTGTGCCCGCTAGTTCATTTCAACAATCAGACAAATCTGAGTAAAGAATTTATGGTTTTGTTTGCAAATCAAGCAAAATCTGGTGATGTCATCTCAAAATCAGGCACAATGTGACAACTTCAGCTGAGTGTCCTGTTTGAGTTAGAAATTGAAAACTCAAATTACTACTGAAGGGGGGGCACAAACCCATTTGAACTGTAACTCGGAATTAACCTCCCATAAATCCCTGTAAACGGAAACTTAGAGTTTTACTCCTATTGCTAGAGTAACTTTTATCTCCCAACAGCAGTACTATTAATCCAGTGGACATACTTTCTCTGTAACACCAATAGTCCTTTAGATGGTTACATTATCAGTGAAATCAGGCATCCCATGTTTATGTTCTGGAAGTATATTTTTCTAATACATTTACAATTCACTCAAAACATTGTGCTTAGTTCTATAGGGATTTTGCTTAAATTTGCTCTGCTATGGATCCATAGGAAGCAATTTCTACATTCATCTGGCCCACCATGATGACAGTAGAATCATAGACTATCAGGGTTGGAAGGGACCTCAGGAGATCATCTAGTCCAACCCCCTGTTCAAAGCAGGACCAATCCCCAATTCAATTTTTGACCCAGATCCCTAAATGGCCCCCTCAAGGATTGAACTCACAACCCTGGGTTTAGCAGGCCAAAAAAAATGCTCAAACCACTGAGCTATCCCTCCTCCGCAGTATACCATTTATATTTTTCTGCTAGATGAATTTCTCACATGGTGACTTAGTAATGATATGTACAGTATCTGTTGGGTTTTCATAATACAACTCAGTTTGCATCATGTAAAAGGGGGGGAAGTCTCATCTAAAAGAGGTGCTAATTGAAATAACTGTAGCAAAATGCTCAGAAAGATCAGCCTCATAAAGTTGCTCAGAGCTATCTTCTGGCTAATACGTTTAAGAGGGAACCCACGCTCATTGGGTTCATTGCTGCCTCTGTAGTAGTGACAGTTCAATATCTACAGCTGTATTATTTTCTCATAACAGGTGTATTGGAACAGATATATATGTATACATCTTTGCAATAGCTAAGGCTCTCAACAGTCAATAATGTTATCAGGGTGTCTTCTAGAATTGCTCTGTGGTGAGCTTTCTTTTTTTCCTGTTACTTTCCAAGAGGAATGGTAACTAATCTTTATTTCTTCCTCTGGACACAGACAACAATAATTTGGGATGCTCACACAGGGGAAGCTAAGCAGCAATTTCCTTTCCACTCAGGTAATTACCATTTACATTTTGTTTCAAAATATTTTTTCCTTAATTTTGGCAATCTGAAAATATATATCTCTATCTTGTTATCAACCTGGCATTATGTTTAGTAACAAAATCCAAATTCTGGCTCTAGAAGTGTTATAGTTCCCCTTGGCTTTAACCACAGCTAGCTAATGCATTTTTAAACATCACTGTCTTCATCTAAACTAGGTGCTAAGTTGATGTTTAAACACATGTTATTTAGCACGTTTAGTTTGCTAACATATTTAAAACATCACTCATTTTCCCATTGTGGACAAACGGATAAACATTACTGGCCTCCGGTGCAGGTAAAAATTATTATTCTTCAGAAAATACAAAGTATTCTGATAGTGTGTGTTCCGATCAGATTTTCACTGCTTTTTGCCACTCATCTTATAAAACTGTGCACTATGCTGCCTGCATGGAAAAAGCAGTCTCTGTTTGCAAATGAACTCATGATATTTATTGTGGAATTTTATTTTTTGTTAGGAATATTCTGTAGAATCACCCTCTGCACTGTAAAGCAATGTACTGATGAAAAACCTATACCCTCTTAGCTCCCTAGAATAGTGTTCTTACTGGATAGGAGTACATTTGAAACAAAGTCATCCTTCAGGAATGATTTGCATCATACAGACACCTCGTGGTTTCCTTTTATACTAATTGGTAACTTGATTAGGTCTTCCAACATAATGTAATAATCTCTAGCTGCATTACAAAGAGTTCAGGACATATCTTCCACCGTCTGTGCTTTGCTTTTCATTGGGCTCATGAGGTGTGAATGAATTATGGTTGTGTGGACGCTAATATTATTGTTCATTTCAGATTGATTATGTTAATTTTCAAAATGGAATAGAACAATTATGAATACTGGATGTTGCTGGGATCTCCACTATTGCCTGACCAATAACCTATAGGTCTAATCCAAGGCCCATGAAGTTCCCTGACAGATTGGTGAAGTTTTATAGTTCCAAACCTAAAACTCCCATAACTTTCACAATGGGCTCGTAGGTATCTTGCATGCATCCAGGATTTGATTAGCCCTTTTATAAAGATTTACTACGATTCTTCCCAGCCACCAGAGCAGACTTCAACTCGAACCCGGTCCCAATGTTCATTTCATTAACATTCAGTGAGAGAATCCTGTTTTCAGAGGGATTGCTATTTGGACGCACATACAAAGCACCACCCAAGCATAAATTGGTACTGGGTCACTAATGAGAAGAGTTTAGCTAATTGATTTTTACAGTATATCATGGGTAGCCTTATAATAGCAAATATACTTTTGTTTTGGGTGCTCATTTGGAAAAATTTCAGTGAATGCCTGCCCCATATTTAAGAAAGGTCATTCCTAACACAACATATAAATCGCAGTATTAAACACATAGCTAGGAGTACAAGGAAAAGCTTTGGTCTTGTCATTTTCAGTGCCATGCAGAAACCCCCAAATGCCTTGATAACATTGTGTAAATAGTAATGCATAGCGAGGTGTGTGTTTATTCTGAATACCCATATGGCTTAAATGTGCAATGAGGCGTGAGGGCAGAAGCCAAATGCCTTGAACTATGAGGAAGTTGTTGCTTTCTAACTGCAATTCTTGAAATGTGTAGTTGTTGCTTTTATTAAATGTTGTTGTAACCTTTTGTTTTAAGCAGTTGGCTAATAATCGCTGTGGTTATTACAGACATCTGTTTTGATAGTCAGGTTACTCATTTTCATACAGCATAGTTGGCTATTATTTCCAGTACATTTTATTTACTTATATTCTGAGTAAACATATGATTAAATAAAATAAACCCCACCAGTGAATATGAAATTCTACCAATATTATGGGGTCACCCTAGCAACACGTTTATGATTCAAATGATACTTCCTTTGTAATTCCATAACTTTAGGTGCACCCAGCTTTCTGAAAATTACTTTTGGACCGCAATTTCTCATTCTTTCTATTAGCCCCAGAAAAAGGGTACTGATGTTGATTTGGATACATTTTATTGACTTTAAAACAATGATGCAAAATTGTGCAGCTGAAAAATAATAGCAGAGAAACATTGTGTAAACAGAATCCTGGGCTGCTTCATGATCCTCTCTCTAATCACACTGAGCCCTCATCTCTACAGTGATCTCTCTTAAACACGCATGCTTTCCGTCAAACAGAATGCCTCCCCTCTTTCACAGAATTCCTCCGTTTCATCATTAATTCTATACGTGATGTTTTTCTGTGAAGCATTTCTGCCTTGCCAGTGTAGCTGTATTTTTTTTAATTGAGAGGGTTGAAGAAAGCCCCATGATGGTTCACGAGGCATGTGCTCTCCTGTCATTTTTAGATATTACACATATTTACTCAAAGGTGCTTAGTTTCATGAGAATAAAGTCAAAACAAAATATATTAAATGTAGTAGATTTTTTGGTTTCCAAAGGAGACATACTTCCATCTTTATACGTAAAAAACGTTGCTCAGAACAACATTGGATAAAAAATTTCGGCGGTCTCGCCACCATTTTAATGATAAACCTACATTATATGCTCACCCCAAATAAATTCAACTTTAACCCCTTCCTAAATCCTGTTAGATTGTCATTGTTACTGACACATACATAATAAGTGTCCTGAGAATGAAAACTAATACCTCTGTTAACAGATCTCATTCCATCCTTCAGAGGGGTGGCTAAAATCTGTCTTTAGCAACAAAAGAAAACAACTGTGGTAGGCCTTGTCTACAGTCAAAGTTGTACTGGTTTAACTTTAAATTGGTTTCAAAAACAATTTAGTTAAGGCACTGCAAAAACCTTTGTGACATTTTTAATTTGACTTAATCACTTTATCTTAAGTTGGTTCCTTACCAAATTAAACTACATCTATATATAAAACAAGTTAAAACCAGATTAACAAAAGTGCACACAACTATAGGCTTAAATCTGGTCATCACCTAAGGAGTCTAATAGGAAGGTGCCATATGAAGCATCCATGGTACCCATTGCTAGGTAGCTAATAAACAGAGTCCCTAGAACAACTACTGAACTACTGTGTATTTCTTTTCATATCTGACATCCACATAGCAATGAACTGTTCCAGATCTATAATAGGCCAATCACTAACTGGTGCCCTTGGTCAAGTTGGTGGCATGGGGAGAATGATTTGGGTAGCTGTTTCTTTGCCATATTTCCTAACATTCACTCTTTTGTTTGTGCTTCACAGCCCCTGCTCTGGATGTAGACTGGCAGAACAACACTACTTTTGCCTCCTGCAGTACTGACATGTGCATTCACGTATGCAGACTTGGCTGTGATCGCCCAGTCAAAACCTTTCAAGGACACACAGTAAGTTTAAAGAATTTGAAATTTTAGGAGTCATTACTAGCATGTGAGCATGGTGGTAGCTGGTGATGTTAAACAGCATCTGTGTTCTAGGACCAACAGTGTTTCTATCCCTTTCCTTCCCCAAAGACGTACTCTGTAAAAATGACTCTCTGTCTTTGAAAAGAGATTCACTGTTCTAAATCACAACATGCAGGCAAAACCCACAGCTTACACAGTGAGGGTATTTACATGTAACCGACTCTAAGGACTCAAAAATACATCAGTACAATTTCATCTACCGCTTTTGTAGTCTCTTTAACAACGTGATGTGAATTACAAGGAGGAAGGGAACAATTTACTTTTAACCATCATTCAGTTGTAGAATGAATTGGGTTGAGTAGGATAAGATCCATTAATAGGTACTTCTCTCATCCTTCTCTCCATTCCCCACCTGCCTATATACCTAAATAGACTCCTCATTTTTTTCTCTTCTTGACTATCTCTCTTTGTGACTATTTAATGGTAGCCACAGGCTAATGCTGCAGATTTTCTTTCACAAGAACACTGCTGAGCTATTCTACCATATGAAATTACTTCGTAACTCCCCTCAGGTGGCCACCTCTGCCTGAGGGAGAATTGGTCCACATGGAGACTGATTGCTAATCACGATGGCTACAGTTCTCAATTAAGCTGATGTTTTCTCAAAAGGTGATGCTGCCTCCACATTAGGCGTTCATCCATAGGCTGATGTTTTCTATTGAGTGGACTGACTGCTCCGTTCTGCACATGAGGCAAATCCTGCCCTCAAATATATGTGTGCAACTCCTGTTAACTACAGCTGAAATTGTGTGTCTGTATCTGAGGGGGGAAATGAGTTAAAAATAGTTACAGGTACTATCCCTGCCACCAAGTACTCCGCCCAATTACTATGTTCCCACAACACATTTTTCTCTTTTAAAAATGCTTTTCTTCCCCCCTGTTAGCATGTGAAAGACCCATAGGAAACAGGGGAACTGGCTGACTAGATAGGGGAAACAGTGGGTTTGATTACACACCAAGTGTAGTCAAATACACAAAGTAAACTGGAGAAAAACAAAGAAAAAAATGTCCTCTAACTTCATATAGTTATCGTCACTGCAGGTGTTGGTACAAATAGTGGATAACAAAGTTTTCAGACTGAAAGGTGGTTTTGAAGTTGATCCGGTTTAAGGACCACAAACCAGCTAATGCTCCAAGTTTCATTTTGTCTTAGTACATTAGTACACACACTGGTATAGACAAAGCACCTCTGAAGAGTTGCACTATTTGAGACTAGTCCGTAGAACTTTGTGTGTGTATGTGCGTAGGTATATACATATATATTCTTAAGGAAAAGTATTTGTTAGATTAATGGAATGTCAACCTCAGAAATTATTTTAAATTATCTAATTGTTGCACCATTAAATGGTCTGGGACTAGGGTTTGTCAAATATTCTGTCGTGTAGGAAGAATCTGATGATTGCCAGACTTTGCTCCTGACACCAGTTATGTCAGGAACATGGTAGCTAATTGTGTGGATCATTCATTGACACAAAAAATTGGTTTCCCTTCCTCATATGTATTTGGATAGTGGGATGTGAAAAGGGATGTCTTCACATGTAAGGTAATGAAGAATGGAATGTAATTTTCAATAGTTTCACTTGTAGGAGTAATAACACTTGAGTGCCCTCTGCTGGGTGCCAGGCACAATGCAGGCAACTTGGAATGTTCACTTAGAAAATCAATCTTTATTTCAGAATGAAGTCAATGCAATTAAATGGGACCCTTCTGGTATGCTACTAGCGTCCTGCTCTGATGATATGACATTAAAGGTAATGTAATTTGATGGCTTGCCTCCAGACTGCTCAGTATTTTTCCCCTGGAGAAATTTACTTTATAAGGTTTTCCATTCATGTAGTTAAAAAAGACCTTTTCGTCTCTGTTGACATTTTTTTTCCCCAGCCTGATGCTACCATACTATTAAAACTCTCTGCATGAATGGTGGTTTCATCTTACCATTTTTGAGTGAAATAAGAATGAAAGAGAAGCAGAAAGAAAACTTGAGCATACTATTTCAATTAGGATCTACTGTCAATATGTCACTGTGATGGAATTCTAGCAGTTTGAACTGAAGACCATATTTTAGTTCATCCTGTCTCCCTGCCAACACAGGACTGATCCTCACTGTACATTAACAAGTGTTTAATCACCATAGTTTACAGTGAATACGCCAATAAGGTTTTCACCATTTCACCTGGAAAACTGTTCCAGTCTAAAGCCTGATCCACACTCAATAGTTAAAAAATATAATTGTCAGTAAGTAATGTGTTTTTTTGTTTTTTGTTTTTGTTTGCTGACGTAGTTATACTGGCAAAAGCCCTAGTACAGATGGAGTTATACCAGTGTAAAGATGCCTTACCCAGTGTAGCTTATTTTGGTTCCCAAACCAGAATAAACTGTACCAGTATAAGCATCAGAATATTTAAAGAGGCAAAACTTTTAAGTGCAGACAAACCCTGAAAGGATCTCTCAATTATAAATTCTATACTGAGAAACTTTAAGACCAGAAGGGACCATCATGATCATCATGTTCAGCCTAAATAATATTTTGCTCAGTTTCACCCTCTAACTCCTTGGTGCTTTATACGCCTCAGATATTTGTTAGATGGTTCTTCTGTCCACCCACACCCATATACATTTTAATAAATTATTTATCCATATTTAGTCATTTCTCTTAACGATTTTCTCAGAACTCAATCCCTCCAGTTCCTTAATCACTTCTGTTGCTCTTCTCTGAATTTCACCCCATTTCTCCACAGCTTTCTGTTACTTAGATGCCCAAAAGCATGTGCTGTTTCCAAATTGTGGTCTCATATTCCTCATTATTGATTCTACACTGCTGTATATGTGGCTCACAAACACATTGGCTTGTTCTCCTGCTGCTAATTTATATCCAGTGAGTTTGAGCATTATTGCTTTTCCAGCATCTCTCTACCACTGAATATCTGTAATTTTGGATTATTTTCCCCCCTAAAAATTAGTTGAGGGGTTTTGGTTTGTCAGGCAGCTGCAGAGCAGTTTCACTATAAAACATGTCATTTCCATTCAACTTATTCTTTCTCTGATATTGAAATATTGACTTGCATAATAGTGCATAAATTATTGATTTGATTCCATCAGACATGTTATTAAAGACATCAGTAAAACAAATCAGAATACCAGCAGGATGCTTGGAACAATCAAGATTTATCTAAGCCATACTTAAAATGGTTTTGACAAATTCACACTAGGATTGAAACATGTAATATAAATTCAGGTTAGATTCCATGGCCAGGACAACAATTGTCAGCCTTTCTTGATCTAGTGAATAAACACAGTTAAATTTGCAAGGCCTTTCTCTCACAATATGTAATGTAAAGTGTGTAGATGTACGTATGGCAATTAGCAAATTGTTATGTAAATAAGCTATATTTAAATTCCTTTGCTATGCTGTAAGTGCGCGCGCGTGTGCAATATATATATGATTGTCATATACAAACAGAAAAGGAAGGATTGAAAACCAGGAGTTGAGAAAAGATTGCAAAGTTTAGATACCTGGCTGATTTTTTTCCGATTCACCTGGCATAGATTTGGAGTATGAAGCAAGATACATGTGTACATGACCTTCAGGCTCACAGCAAAGAGATTTATACTATCAAATGGAGTCCTACAGGACCAGGCACCAGTAACCCAAACTCCAACATCATGTTAGCCAGGTAAAAACAAAACCACCTCCTCTCCTGCTGATGCTTGTTACTGGGCTATCTGCAAATAAGACTGAAAATCATTTCTGTTAGTGGATGAGCGGGGATTGACCAAAGAGGGAGGAAACGTACAACAAACATGGAAAATTAAGCCAGATAGTGTTTAATTTTTAAACTACTCCTCCACCCCAATATAACGCGGTCCTCGGGAGACAAAAAATCTCACCACGTTATAGGTGAGACCGCGTTATATCGAACTTGCTTTGGCCCCCTCTGTTCCTTGTTCCCTGACCGCCCCCTCCAGAGACCCCCCATCCCTAAATACCCCCAGGACTGCACCCCCTACTCAACCCCCCTGTCCCCTGACTGCTCCGACCCCTATCCAAACCCCCCCCCCCCCCCGCCCCCTGACAGGCACTCACCGGCAGCGGCGGGAAGAGGAGTGATGCAGCCCCAGCCCGCTCCACTCTGCCAGCTCCCAGCCGCGGCGCTCTGCTTCCCGCCGCCAGTGAGCGCAGGGAGGTTGGAGAAAGGTCGTCCTCTGCACTCACCGGCAGTGGGAAGCGGAGCGACACGGCCCCAGCCCTCTCTGCTTTCCTTGTCCCAGCCCCAGCTGTGTCGCTGGGGGGGGGGTTGGGGAAAGGTCCCGCACTCACCTGCGGCAGGAAGCAGAGCACCACGGCTGGGAGCTGGTGGAGTGGAGCGGGCTGGGGCCGGGCTGCTCCGCTTCCGCCACTGCCGGTGAGTGCGGGGGGAGATCCCTTCCCACAAGCCCCCTCCCCTGAGTGACACATCTGGGGCCGGGGCGAGGGAAGCGGAGCAGGCTGCTCCCAGCCCCTCACTAATCCCCTGGGCCACTCTGGGACTGCAGGGCCCCCAAAAGTGCCCCCCACAGCTCCTGCCTCCCAGACCCTGCGGGGGGGAGGGAGCCCCTGACCGCCCCCCGAGACCCTCTGCCCCTTATCCAACCCTTCGGCCCCAGCCCGGCACGCTCAACACGCTGCTCAGAGCTGCGTGTCGGAGCTTTCCCGCGTTGTATGCGAACCTGCGTTATATCGGGTCGTGTTATATCGGGGTAGAGGTGTACTTTAGTAAAAAAAGGATACAGTTGCCACTGCACCCAACACCCAGGCATCTGGTATATATAAATGAATCTGTTTAATTGAAGCCCTCTAATGTATGGATCTGGCAGTCCATTAAACCAATTGGATGTACTCTAATGAAAGCCATCAAGCAAAACTGCATAGATATTGATATTTTTTTATAGTTCTGGTAAGTGGTGTGGAACAACTTGGATGCCTGTTAAACTTTCACCTAAAGAAATTCATTCAAGATTTAACTTCGTCCAGTTTTAGACATCGGTTTAATCTTAGGAATGTCAATCGATGCCTGGACCACTGGATTGATTAGCTAATTGGCACATAATGACCATATCTTCTGTATGATATCCTCGCGGGGTTGCCTCTTAAATTTATCTATTTTGTTGGTCAAGTAGTTTTGTTTTGTTTGGAGGGAGGATTGTTGGGTTTGGGGGGTTTTTATACAATACAGGGGATTTCTCCTGTGTTCCCTTAGTCCACAACGTCGGATTTAGGTGGATTGTGGTAAGAAACGATGAGTAATTTCTGGGCAGAGGGTGAAAGAAGGTAAAGGACCACTATGCTAGAGAATATGAAGCAAAATTCATTTGTTAGATAAGAGATCAAATTCTCTTAGGAAGAAACTTTCCCTGGGGCATGTTATCCGAAACCTGTCCACTATAGAGTTACTTCAGCCTTCCTCCAAAGTAGCAGGTAATGGCCACTGTCAGAGACAAGATACTGGACTAGATGAACAGCTGGTCTGATCCAGTAAGGCAATTCCTATATTCCTACTTCTACCCACAACCCGCTTTCCCCCCACCCCCCCCATGAAGCCAAAGGCTCCAAATATGCACATTCACCGTAATAAATTTGTTTCACTTAAGAGGGTTTGATAGATCTCAGTCCTTCCATACCTCTCCTGTTGGAAGTATTGGTGCACATTTGTTTGTAGGTGGGATGTGTCCTCACGAGTTGTTTACAGTATCTTTGCAAACTGCAGATAAACTAGTTCCCTAGTCAGCACCCACTTGTGTTTGACTCTTTCCTGTAGTGCTTCATTCGATTCTACTGTTCGGCTGTGGGATGTTGAACGAGGAGTCTGCATTCATACATTAACCAAACATCAAGAACCTGTCTACAGTGTAGCTTTTAGTCCTGATGGGAAATACCTGGCCAGTGGGTCCTTTGACAAATGTGTCCATATATGGAATACTCAGGTACTCATTCGATTCACACACACTAATGAAAAGCGGTTTAGCTGGAACATTAATAACAGAAATGATAAATGGAAAATGTATGTATCTGTATGTACTGAATTTGTGAACCTGACCGTGACATGAAAACCTTTTGAGCTGATGGTGTGAGATAATGAGGTGCCTGTCCTTTCACGTTTTTGCCAAAGGTTCATTGAATGTGGAACTGTGCCAAGAAAATCAGTTGTCTCAATTTGATGTTGGTGTGCAGATGAAACTGCACTGGGCACGTGAGGCGTGTCAAGCTGCCAGTGCAGCAGCCTTTAGAAATGATTGATGCTCCTATTACGCAGCAAGCTGGGTTCATTTGAGATTCAGATATGCACAGGACTAATTTTTTAGAGTATTGCATATTTGTGAAGAGATTATCATCACAAAGATACGTGGATCTGATGTTGTACAGGATAACAGGGCTCTGTGAAAAAGTGGGATACTTGGAGTTACTTCTTTGCAGACTAATGCCCAGAAAGCTCTTTGGGCTGATAGTGACTTCCTAGCAGAGCTTGCTCCAGGAACAAGCTGAACGATTTGAGCTATGCTTGTTTATATACAGCATTCTTTTTTTCCTAAGAAGTAAAAATGTTCAGGACATGAATTTTCAATATTTCTTTCTCTATTAGAAACCACAGGGACCCTCCTGGCAGTGAAACTGGTGTGGTTCCCACCAGTGAGTGGGGATGGTGGATTTGGGATGGGGCTACAGACAAGTGTGTATACAATATGGATCCCAACTCTTCACAGGACAACTGGGTGAAATCCTGGTCCTATTGAAGTCAATGGCAAAACTCTCATTGACCTGAATAGTTCCAGGATTTCACCCCTGGTATTTGTGCCTCACAGTGTAGGCACCAATGCACCTCACAGCAAACCCACAACCATAAGTGCCCACATAAAAATAAAATATTTTAAACGTCAAATCTTGCAAATTGGTTTGCTTTCTAGAGCGGAACTCTAGTACATAGCTACAGAGGCACTGGAGGGATCTTTGAAGTCTGTTGGAATGCTAGAGGAGACAAAGTGGGAGCAAGTGCATCAGACGGATCGGTAAACATTTGTATTCATTCATTGTAAATATTTTGGGGAAAATCCTGTGCAAAGGCCAACACAAATTCTGTGCACTGTTGCCCTCTCTGGACAAAGCTCAGAGGTGGGTGGGTGTGTTCCCTTATTTAGGGCCCAGTTCAGTGCTCCATGAAGTAGATGGTGTCTTTCCATTTACTTGAAGCGGCTTTGTATCAGGCCCCTCAACGCACATTTCCTTGATTGCCACCTTTTATTTGAAATATATTTATGATTAAAGAAATACAAACACTACTGTTTCTTTCTCCACCATGACCCTTAAAGAGTAAATCCTGCAGATTATCATGTAGAACCATAACAAGTAGAGATGAGAAACAACTCACTCATTAGCTAGTGAATGCAGAATTCTCCCCCAGTCAGTATTCCATGATGCATTATCTAAGTTATTGGTAAATTGCGTTATTACAAATTTAGAACCTGAGCACACACACGTTAAGAATTCGGAATAAGCTTCAGAAATGTTTCTAACTCGTGGGTCTTTTCTTTCTCCACCTCTAGGTTTGTGTTCTAGATCTGCGGAAGTAAAGGTGAAGTGTTTTAGGAGAAATTTCAAATGGACCAGCAGTGAATGTGTGGGGAGAAGCACTCTTCAAAACTATTCTTAACAGCTCCAGAACTGTACAAACTTGAAAAAAGTTAGTGTGTACAATGAAACCAACTCTCCCTGGCCACAGAAGTCTAGTATTTTGCCCATAACCTTCATCAAGGAGTAAAAACACAGTCACTTGAGAGGGAGAGAGGATGGTTTTCACCTGGAATATTCAGCCTTGGAAGCATGAAGCCACCAACTAGAGACTGCACTGTTTGACTTGCATCTGAGAACTTGCTTTGATGGCTGGAAAAAAAAAAAAAAGCTGTGCCAAAAAATAATAATAAAGAAACAAACTAAGCGAAATGCTGTGATAAACCAAAAGGGAAAAAAAAAATCCTCCTCCATGTGGTGGTGTATTTTTTTCCTTCCAATTTGGACACTACAGTTGCTCTCCCAAAGGACATTCAAAGACCAGTTTGTACTGATGAAACGCGCAACTTTGTAATCACAACACTTTCTATTTTCTAGACTACTTTTTTGTTCAGTGGTTTTTCTATCAGCTGGAATATTATGTCCTGGAGTATCCCAGGCTTAGGTTGGAACTGATTTTTTTTTTTCTTTTTCCTTCCCTTCTCCTTCTTGTTTCTCTCTCTCTCTCTCTCCCTCCTTCCCCCTCCTGTGTGCCCACAGTAGATGCAGCCAGTTGGACATGACAACAAAAAATTTCGACAGTCTGCTTCTCCTCTTTCTCCGTTCCCCTCCCCCCCCCGCCTATTTTTTTAAAATCCCTCCATGCTTCAGATCTTAGCATCTCAAGGGCACTTTCAGCAAATTGTGTAATAAGTGCTTTATATAAGAATGCAGTGCTGGGGAAGATTTTTACAGGCAAAAGATGACTTTTAAGAGAGAGAACCCAGTGTATTTTTGGAAAAAAATATTTTTTATGTTAAACATAATTTTAAAAGCCTAAAATAGCCACCAAACGTAGACTGCTTTGTGTAATTCAAGCAAAAGAATGACTCAAGTGGAATCCACGGTACATTAAAGATGCAGTATCATTTTCCTCTCCTTTGTCTCATAAAGTGCTGTAAGAAAATGTCATTTCATACAACAAATATCAGGTTTTAAACAACAATAACCTCTTCCTGCAGTCAGAAGTTTACATGGGCTAATTTTTATTTTTGTGGCTGTATGACTAAGTACATTTATTAAAAGAATACAGAAGTTTGAGGTTATATATACAGAATTCATATCTTTGGGTCCATATACCCAAATACCTGTAGTAATTAAAGGAAAACAATTGTATATGCTCTTTCTTGGAGAAATGGTCCCAAATTCATATTAAGGCTGCATTCTGTCACTCTCAGTCATGTTCATAGGACTGGAAGGGACCTCAAGAGGTCATCTAATCCAGTCCCCTGCACTCGTGGGGGGACTAAGTATTATCTAGACCATGCTGACTAGATAATACCTCACTCCACTAGTCATCACATTAGGCTGATCCTCTTCCCATTAAGTCAATGGGACTTTTACCACAGATTTAATAGGATCCCTTCTTCCCCTTTGGATTCCCCTAGTATAGGCACTGCAGAAGACAGCTATCAGATTGCCTTCTGGGATGCTTTGCAAATCATGATGACAGAGGGCACAGGGTTAGGGGCAGAAAAGGTGTGCCGTGGGCAGGGTTGCAGCATACAGTGCTGTGGAGATTCCCGGCAGTGCTGTAGACCATGGAGTAGTTCAAGGAGGTGGCCATAACTTAGGCCCTAAGAACTAAACCATGCCAGGGCCCTCTCCATCCCATGGAGCAGCCCAGGATCAGAACAGTGCAAAAGTGGCTTAAAGCCACCATAGCACCTCCATAGCGAGTTGAGTGCTGTGCCTCTCAGAGGTGCCACACAGAATCTCACCCGTTTCTTTCAGTGGGGTTGCCCAACAGGAGTAATTTGTAAGACCCTGACCCATAATGCTTAAAGTGGTATGAAAATGCCCAAGTTACTTAGTATATGGAATTAATATTTTATTTCATCTGATGTTTTTCTCTCTTTACTGTGACACGCTGACACTATCTTGGCCTTTTCACAGGAACTAACCACTGCTCACTCATCACAAGCCCTGTGATGTACGATTGGAGATCAGAAAGTAATTAAAACAATTAAACTATTCAGATGTTTTGGTCCTGAAGTAGAAACATTTAGGTGGAATATTGGTTGTTGATTGCTGTTGCTCTTTTTTACCCCCAAAGAATGGAAGGTGGGAAGAAGGAAAGTTATTTTCCTTGAGGTAACAAATCCATAGAGCATTGGACTTTAGATGCCCAGATGACATTTTTGAACTGTTTTATAATAGCTGCCTCGGCTGACCTGTTTAAGCTCTTGATAGGAAAAAGAGTCCTTGTTAGAAGAGAGAACTGAGCTTTATTACAGAAGTTCAGTGAGGTTTTATAAAGGACTGCTGATGTAATTACTCACTAGTGTCATTGTGAGTGTTGACGGTTCTCATTTTAAGCCTGTGCCTATGATGCACAGGAGCCTTGGGTTGAATTTTCAAGGATAACAGGAAAGCAGCATCTATTTAGGGGGGCTCAGAAGACATGCTCAGCAGTGTGCTTCTTTTGGGTCTGCCGTTTGTGTGACTCTTGAACAGGCCAAACATCAAGATGTGGTGATGACAGGATAGGTGATTTTAGTTCAGTTGCTTTTTTGGCCTGGCTTTCTTGTTACACAGACATATCTAAATCTGATGGAGCCTGTTCCAGGAATTTTAACTGGGAGATACTTTGTGGGTGTCAAAGAAACATGTTTCATTTTTGAAATGATCTAAATTAACACCATCTTGTCTCTGCTAAGTTACATAAAAAGAAGAAAGCGAGTAAAGCACAGTTTCAGAATTTGGCAAGTATCAAATTCTCTCATGTGAAAGGCGCTATTGTCCCAAAGAAGAATTCTGTATACATACACGTTTTGTTAGCCTCCTGCAGACTGACCCATTAACCTTCCTGGATGCTTACAGGAATTTTACCTTTACTGGCTGCATGGAACTGGCCTTGAGATAAAATAGCAACCTTTGAACACGTGCCCAGGCTTTGCTTCTTTAATGTAGGTTACTGCATCTTTAATGTAGAAAACACTGGGTCCCTTATGGGGCATTAAAGGGCCTGACAGTTACAGGGTTAAACACGCACTAACCCCATGCTACATCTTAGGAATTTCCTTTTGATTTGTTTTTAAAAAGAAATTAAAAACAAACCTAGGTAATTATAGAGCCAAGTGAAGTGCACTTTGTCAAATGTAAGGGTCTGCTTTGGTTTTGCGGTTTACTTTTCCTTTTTCTTTTTTTTAACTTTTTTTTAAAATGTGGTTCTTTGTCAATTGCAGAAATGTTCTTTCAGCCACTCACTGAAATTTTGAATTCTGGTTTCTGCAGTTTTTATTGTCTGTGTCAGACTTGCAGCCAGACTTTGGTTCTCATTTCAGCATTTCCCAGATTCTGTTGAAACAACATCAACCCCTGTTTTGTTTCCCCTCCACCTGCACACTCTCAGAAATCACCTTGTGTATTGTAGCTCATTTGTTTCAAGGAGAGAATCAACAGATCATATTCAGTGTCTTGAATAAATTGCTATATTTTGATATTAGAGAACTCTGTGCATGTTGTTCCTTTTTCTTTTTTGGCCATTAACTTTTTGCTTCCCACGCTCAGGAGCTGGGAGGAATGTGTCAAAATGCAGCATATTTATTGTAGAATTTTGTTTTCCCCAAATGGCCCTTCTATTTAAAAACACTCTGTTTCCAAAAGGGCATAACTAAATATTGAGCAGTCCAGATGGTAAAGAATCAATTTAAGTGAAATACATATAAAGCACTTTTATACCAGAATAAGTGTCCATAAAAAGGGGCTAACTAAATAAGTGTCTAAATCAATTTAGTTAAATTGTATAATTTTCTCACACAGACAAGGCTTTAAATCCACCACGTTGCTTGAGGTGTGGCACCACGACCAGTATAGATGTCATAAATGCAGCTGGGACATGCCCTTGATTACAGGTGCCAGTTGAAGTTTTCACAGCTCTCTAGAAGATTTAGACAAACATCTTACATTAGTTTTAAAGTTTGCAGTGTTGTTGTAGCCATGTTGGTCCCAGGGTATGAGAGAGACATGGTGAAAGAGACCAGCTTTTGACCTCCATGGACCTGAAGAAGAGCTCTGTGGCTCTCAAAAACTTGTCTCTTTCACCAACAGAAGTTGGTCCACTAGAACAGATTATCTCACCCACCTTGTGTCTCTCATTAATTTTAAGAGAAGATGTGTATAAATCCCCAGGATGATTTTAAAAAATGTAACCACAGTACTTAAGTTCATGCAGTAAGCGTGTAAATTCTTTTCTGTTAGCTATATCTAGAGATGGCTAGCAGAGCTGTTTGTTTATCTACCCACCCCCACTACATGAAAAGCATCTTGGTGCTCCAATGGACTTGGTGCTCAAGCAGAGTGGAGCTGTTCTGATCCTCCTATCAGTTCCTTCTAATGGTTCCCCTAGCGGCTAATCTCTGAGGGGTCCTATATGTTAACCCATCTGGGTTTTCCGAATATGTGGAGAGCCTTAAAATGTACATATAGTAGCGAGAGATGTAGGATATTGAAAAGCTTTATCCCATGCAAGCTGGTACCTGCAGTGCACATAAGATGCCCCTGCGTGACATATGAGAACATAATCAGTAAGAGATTTTGTGTGACAGCCTCACTGCACTGTCTGTTCACTCGAGCGAAAGGTCGGAGATTGTCAGAAGCCTGCCAAAGGAATTAGTTGCCTAACTCATTAACTCCAGCACCAGCAACTCACAACCATCTCTAGCAGCATGCTCACTTACTGGCCTGTCCTTGGTTACCTAATATTCTCTGTCAACACATTGCCTAGTCACTGGAGGAGGCTACAATTAGTGGGCATGGTATGCATCTTGCTCATAGTCCATCATGACGTCCATCTTATCCTAACTGTCATGCCCAATGACCTCCTTTCACAAGTTACATCCTTCCTGGGCTCTGGTTTTGATATGGTGTATTTTCATAGAATCATAAAAAAGTAGGGCTGGAAGAGACCTCAGGAACTCATCAAGTCCTGCCATCTGCACTACGGCAGGACCAAATAAACCTAGAACATTCCTGATTCCAGGTGTTTGTTCAACCTGTTCTTTAAAACTTCCAATAACAGATTCCACAAACTCCCTGGAAGCCTATTCCAGAGCTTAACTACCCTTACAGTTAGAATTTTTTTGTAATTTTTTTTTTTTTTTAGTTACCCTCTAGATGCCAAGAAGTAAGCATGACCTATTAATCACTTTTCTTTGGTGTCCATTTACCCTTCATCCCATCAATAGACACTCAAGAAAAGGCAAGCAATGTCCTCAAACATTTTGTTATATTGTTTTTCACACAGGTTATTTCAACCCATACTAAGAAGTATGGCGTGAGTTAAAACAAGAAATGTATTAATTTGGACTACTAGTGAAAATGAGTTCAGTGGGTCTCACAGAAGTCTCTTTAGCAGCCAATAGTCTACATAACAAATACTCCTCCAAAAATTAGGCCTGGCTGCCATTCTTGATTCAAGAGAGGACTGGGAATATAACATCTGGGCAGGGTGGAAAGTTTGGTCTGAATCTGTAATTTGCAGCAGTATGGAAAGTTTACCCAATACCTGTTTGCACTATAGCTGGTTCTTTAGTCAGCACTATATTATATTAGTACTTTTTTGAGCAACAATTTCAGAGAAATTTTAAGAAATTAATTACTATTAAGCTAAAAATGTAATTTGTTTCTGCTTTTCTGCTTAGCAAGAAAAATACCATTTTACAAGTAGCACCTACAACAATGAGCCCTCATAAAAAAGGTACTTCTGGCAGATGCTCATATCTTTAAAGCAATAGAATAAAAGGTGTAATTTGTGATACCTATGGCTATGAAGATGTAATAGTGCAGCTGTCTCACTCAATGTAGTGGCCTTTCCAGAGCCACCCATGCTTTCTTCCCAGCTCTGAATATACATTCATTTTCATAGTTCAGTAACACTAGCAATGAAAGGACAAGAACATCTTCACCCATTAAGATCTCATGCAACTTCATGGATAAAGACCCAAGCTCCCCAAAAGCATCTTTAAAAGTTTTAAGGCCCATTCCAGATTCTTACATGAGTAAATGAGTCACTTGGCAAGGAATTTGTCATCCTTACTGCCTTCCCTTGTTCGCAACAGGGATATTTCTCTTTATGTAGGTTGTTACCAAAAAGGGAACACCAGACAAGAAAAGAGAACAACTAAAATCTCTTCAAAAGATGACAAAAATGTTCACAAAAAGGCAAAGAACAAAATCTAAAAACCAGAGGAAAAGAGCTAAAAATCCATCTAGGTCCTGTTTTCCTGACATCAGCTCTAACACCTTTCTCCAGAAAGCAGAACTTTTGACTTCAGCCCATAATAACACTGAGATAGAAGAACAGGAAGAGGTTTTTACACAGACCCAGAGATGTGTTTGAAACAATGGGGAAGAAACCATGGTGGGTGCTACTGATATCTAGCTAGAGAGAACAAGTGGCTAAAGCCCATGGCAAAAATCTCCTCTCAAGCACTGAGACAGAATTCGCCGTCCCTCTACACCACTCCTTCAAAGAGGTCTTTAGAGATGAGTGTATAAATGCACAACAAAGGGGAGAAGACTTAGTTGATGAAATCCTAGCGTCTGAGAAACCAAAGATTCTCTCTCCATCCTGACAGCGTAGACTAGGGGGATTTTCCTTCTCAAAGATCCCATGGACAGAAAGATAGAATTCAACCAGAGAAGGGACTTGGAGGCTTCAGGAGCAGCCTCTAAAGCCATAATGTCCTGGTACAAAGACCTAATAAGCCTGACTAATTCAAGTCAGCACTGTGAAAAAGATACTCTGAACTACTGCATTTGACGTGGACCTATTCACGAACTCTGTGAGGCTGGTAGTGAGAGCCCTGATAGAAAATTCAGTGGCCAGGTGTCAACTTTGTTTTAAATTCTGGACAGTGGATACTTGAACAATGCTCAGTTCTCAGTTAGATCCTGTTTTGGGGAGAAATTCAAGAAAGTGGTGCTCAGTAACACAGACAGGCCAAACCATTCAGCCTCCATTCCAGCAAAAGTCCCAAGGACTACGAATCCCATATACACAAAAGATCCTTTTGTTCCTACCCACAACAAAGGCAGCAGAGAAGGGAATTCTCTTTCTCCACAGTTATGGCCTGGACCTGCTACACCAGAGGGCAACACAGAATAGTTACAGAGCTTAGGTATGGGTTTAATCACCACTTTCTAAACTGCAACTAGGCCTGCTTCCATCCAAGTGTAGGCCTGTATCAACAAAGTGAGATATCCCATTTCTCAGATAAGAAACATCACATTTTCTTGAAGGAAATCTCACACCTGCTAAAGGTAGGGGCAATAGAGCTTGTCCCTCAAGACAAAAGATACATAGGGCTTGAGTCCATCTTCAGAGTCAGAAGAAGACCAAGAAGGGTCCAGGGTATCTCAGTCCAATAAAGGATGAGACAGAGAATGAAGAAAATAAAATTCCGGATGGGAAATATTTTCTGCTATCACTACAGTCGCTTCATGAGACCTAAGGTTGATGGAGTTGACAAAAGATTAGCTGCATATTCCACTCAAGCCCTGTTACTAGCAATTCCTTTGGTTCACCTTTGGAAATTGGCAGTACAAAAGGTTACCCTTTAGCCTGTTTTGTACCCTATAATATTCACGTTAGTACTGATGATTACCACAGCTCAGCTGAGAAAACCAGGGGACTCCTGTGTATCCATTCTTACACAGAGCATGGTCCCCCGAGATTTCATAGGAAATTGCCCATCGGACTTTCTCCACACTTTAGGCACATGGGGATGTGATCAACTTAAAAGAAGAGACCCCTGGATCCACTTCAGAGGATTGTCTGGCTGCTGGTCTATAAATGAAGAAAACCAGACACTGGTAGGTGGATTCCAGAAGAAACCAGAGCCCAGAGAAGTATCCCTGGCAGAAGGGGCATCCGCCACCCCAGAGGAAATCTTTGAAGCTGCCATTCAGCGACATTTTCTAAAGCAAAACATACTTGACATTCATTCTTGTGCAGAAATATCCTTCAGCGGGGATGTATCCAAAGCTGTGCCCCCAAAATAGATTACCACTAATCTGATAGAGGGATGAACATTTTGCCTTCTGTCCTACTTAGCTCTCCCACCCAACTAATATTTTCTTGCTCCTTGCTATGCCTCATATCTCATGGGCTAAGGGAGAGGTTATTATCCAGAACAAACAGTTTACCTGATTTATTTTCTGGGGCTGACATCTCTCTCAGTCCACTCCTCCTGATGATAAGTTCCTTGGGTATCTTTACAATGGCCTCTTCAGGGGTCATGTATAAGATTAACAGCACCGGTAGAAAGTGTTTTTTGTTGAACATTGGCCTTTGGAAAATGAGAATTTTCATGATTCAGCATCAGCAGTGTTATCATCTAGTAAGCCGTGTAGCTCACTCGAGCTGTGGATTTCAATGGTGCTAGCATAAGTAGCTAGCAAAAGCAAAGAGAAAAGCCTGTGTTTTATTGAGAGGTACGTGGAAATAA